CACCCCCTGCGGAGGGCATCTCGGTCCCCCGCTGCCTTTTTTCCGAATGGTGCCTTTGGGGTCGGGATCTGGGACTCCTGGCTTGTCGCCGGGCCCGGATGGGGCCAGTACGTGGCGCGCGGGTGGAGAAGCCGGGTCCCGGTGGCTCCTGCGCGGCCTCTGTGGGCCGCGGGCCCCCATCCATGCCACGCTGGCCCTCAGGCCCTGCCGGCTGGCATGGTGACCCTCCGGCGGCGCACCCTTTTCCCGCGCCGGGATTCGCAACCTTCTGGCTCTTTAAGCCCCCAGCCAGTATAGTCTAAGGCACTTATGAGGGTACTTCTAACCCGTTTTAATTTTGTTTTGCAGTACAACCTAGGGACAAGAGAGATTTGAGGCAGTTTAAGCAGAGAGATAAAGCAAAGACTGACACTAAATGGGACGTGTGGTGGGTTCTAGTTCAAGTTTCCTGCAGCTTTTTTGTGTTTTCATTTCTTTCAAAATCTGGAAAACATATACTTGTTTCAAAATGAGGCTGGGGAAGAACATGCTTCTAAAACTCTTTAGTATAAAACCAGCTTTTTATTGTAAATGCTTGTCTTATACATATTTACATTGCGTGAAAGGTCTTAAAAAGGTTGAACCCTTTGATACAAGTGCTGACTGCCAATAGGAGTCTGCCAATCTGTATTGTGTTTTGTACTTAGACGTTCTTATTGTTGAAAAAGTGACATTGGAAAGGTAATGACAGGTGTCTTCTAAGTTGCTTTTTTTTTTTAAACGAGTGTTTTGGATGGCATGGTTAGCTTTTTTGTAAATTTAGAGTATGTATGAATCCCTTAGCATGAGAAAATGTCTACATGTCTGTACTTTAAAATGTTTAGTAGCTAAGCCTTGTACAGCTCTTTTGCGACCCCATGGACTGTAGCCCACAAGGTTCCTCTGTCCATGGAATTTCCCAGGCAAGAATACCAGAGTGGGTTGCCATTTCCTTCTCCAAGGGATCTTCCCGACGCAGGGATCCAACCTGTTTCTCTTTTGTCTCCTTCACGTCAGGCAGATTGCTTACCACTGAGCTACCAGGAAAGACCATGTTAACAGTGTTTTTTCTGGATGAACAGATTCTAAGCGATTTAATTATTTTATTTTTTCTTCTTATTTGACTACAGTGACATATATTAATTTTATCTATAGTTTTTTTAAGTGAAGAAGAGGACTTGAGTGAAAAATTGCATGTTCAGAATCTTCCCATTAAAAGAGGAGGACTAGAGAGCAAATGTGTGTATGACATCCTTAGGTAAAAACATTTGCTGAAATGAAGGGTGGTTAGCATTTTTGGTCTTGAGTGGGCATTTTACCATCTTGCTTAAAGGAGGTTGGGTAAACTTTTGAATATTGTTCAGCCCTAAGTAGGAGTCAAACATTTCCTTATCAAGGTAATCCTGTTCTCTTCACCTGACAGTCTGAATCCAAGCCAGGTTGCAACATTAATTCTAATGTCATGCTTGGTTTCCTTGCTTTTTTGAAAGTTTGAAGTGTTTAAAATGCTTGGCTGACAGTTTTCAGTATTCCATCTGATACTTGTAAAACATTTATAACATGAAGTATAAAGCTTTCAGCTGTATAAATTCTGTACAAAAGAAGTGTTAGAAATAAGTCTTAAGATTTTAGTTTATTACATAAATATGAAAACAGCTGTTTATTTTTTTTTTAATGCACTTGATGGGATGAGCTCAGGGAATGCTATTTGCGTTGTTAGATGAAGCATTATATATGTTGACACCACTTCTGCAGATATCATGGTTGTCAGTTTCTTTGAGTGATTCCCGCACCCTCCTCCCAGTTGGTGGCTGACTAAGTACTGGCAGCAAGATATAACTTGCTGGTGACAGTGGTTATAAATGAAGATTTAATCACACAGTTGTAAACCCAGAAGTCAGAAGACACACTTTTTCATCGCTGGCTCTTCTACTCAGATGACTTCACTTTCAATGAACTTTGTTTTCCTCCTCCAGTAAAATTGGAGTAGATTTGAAAGTAGCCCTTCTATCTATGTCACAGGATTGTTGTGAAAATCAAATAAAATTCACAGTAAATTCAGCAGCACTTTATGTGTATGATTACATTATGTATAGTGCTGATAATTTGTTACTGTTTAGTAGATAAGTCATGTCCGACTCTTGCGATCCCATGGAATGTGTATTTCCCACCATTCTCCTCTGTCCACCGGATTTCCCAGGCAGGAATTCTGGAGTGGGTAGCTGTTTCCTTCTTCAGAGGCTCTTCCCTACCCAGTGATCAAACCTGAGTCTCCTGCATTGGGAGGCAGTTTCTTTACCACTGAACCTCCTAGGAAGCCCAGTATTGATACACCCAGCACTTAATAAAGTGGCAGAAATAGTATGTGCACCTCAAGTTCCCTCCTGCTAGAATTGAGATGAGAAATAATGATGCCAAGTTCTACCTACTGTGTACCTGTATCGCCTTGGTGATGAGAAAAGAAGCTTATAAGTTCACAGAAAAAACTTTACAATACAATGCATTTTTTTCTCTGACATTCTTTATTTTCCCACTGCTATAGTAGAAGGAACACTAATCTGAAATGGAGGAAAGAGTTCTAACACTATTACTTCAGTTGGACTGATCACTTTATCTCCCTATTTCTATAAATAAAAGAGATTAAAAGCATAGACTTGAAAATCTATGTTCAAGTTAGATCTCTGTGCAACTCTCACTTATTTACTATTCCTCTGACTTAAGTTTATGCCTCAATTTCCTTATCAGTTGTTGTTTAGCCATTATGTCCTGTCAGACCCTGCGATGGCTCCTTTGTCCATGGGATTCTCCAGGCAAGAATACTGAAGTGAGTTGCCATTTCCTTCTCCAGGGGATCTTCCCGACCCAGGGTCCCAACCTGTGTCTCCTGCATCTTCTACAGTGCAGGCAGATTCTTTACCACTGAGTCACCTGGTAAGCTGGGGAAGGCAATGGCAGCCCACTCCAGTACTCTTGCCCGGAAAATCCACGGGGTCGCTCAGAGTTGGACTCAATTGCACGACTTCACTTTCACTTTTCCTTTCATGCATTGGAGAAGGAACTGGCAACCCACTCCAGTCTTCTTGCCTGGAGAATCCCAGGGACGGGGGAGCCTGGTGGGCTGCCGTCTATGGGGTCGCACAGAGTCGGACACGACTGAAGTGACTTAGCAGCAGCAGCAGCACCTGGTAAGCCCTCTTTATCAGTAACAACGGGTAGATAATAGTGATTTGGAGAGTGTGTTATAGATTTTTCTAATCATGTGTGTGAGTCACTCAGTTGTGCCCGATTCTTTGCGACCCCATGGACTGCAGCCCACCAGGCTCCTCTGTCCGTGAGATCTTCCAGGCAAGGATAGTGGAGTGGGTTACCATTTCCTTCTCCAGGGGATCTTCCCAACCCAGGGATCGAACCTGGGTCTCCTGCACTGCAGGCAGATTCTTTACCGACTGAGCTACAAGGGAAGCCCTTTCTAATCATAGGTTTAAATAAAAAAGTATGTTCACAGCCTGGTACATAATTGGTGCCCAACAAATGATCATTATTCTTCTATTAAGTAATCTATAAGGAGGATTTGTGCTCACTTCGGCAGCACATATACTAAGTAATCTATAAGGAGGATTTAAACAGTTTAAAATCTGTAATTTGGGAATTCCCTGGTGGTCCAGTGATTAGAAATCCATGCTTCCACAGCAGGGGGCACATGTTCTATCCTTGGTCAGGGAATTAGGATCCCACAAGCCACCCCAGTGCAGCCAAAAATGAGGGAAAAAAAGGCTGTACTAATTTGTCAGCTTTCATTATATTGGCTTTTATTGTGACTGAATAAATTAATGGCAGGAGAAGGAGGTTCAGTCCCTGGGTGGGGAAGATGCCCTGGAGTAGGATATTGCAATCCACTCCAGTATTCTTGCCTGGAGAATCCCATGGACAGAGGAGCCTGGTAGGGCTCCATGGGGTTTCAAGAGGTTGGACTCAACTGAGCACACACAAATAAATTAATGAGATTTATATTCCTGTGTATTTATTTATGTTCCTTTTTTGGTGTTAAGATAGTTTTAGAAGGTAAATTCACTTCAAAGAAATAGGACACATATTTACATGTAGTCACATATTTACCAATTTATACAAGTTTTAGTACATAATACAATATTGTACTTGAGTTAATTCTGTATAGCTTTCCAGTTAACTAATACCCAGTTAACTAACATCTGAGACTTTGAGTCTCAGAAATGAACTATATTTTTGCTCATAAGACTTTTGTCCTGTTTTTCCTACAGGCATATTTCACCGTCTGTGAAAACTTCCCTGTAATTCAGTTTTCTCTCTCCATATTACACCAAGTAAGTAGGATGTGGCAAACTAGTTAGTCAATTTTATAATTGTCTATAACTGTCTATGGATATTTATTCAATAGCTCCCACATCTCTTTTGTTCTCAATAGAATGTTGAGTGTGACCTCATGAGTAAGAAAAGGATTTTTTCTTGAAATTATATTCTGAGCCTCTGAATGATGACGGTGATTTTTTTTCCCTTCTGAAGCCAGAGAATTAATACAGATTTGTGACAGTATTCTTTTTTAAGGGGGTTGTGGCTTCAAAACTGTCAAAATATTCCCAACTGTAAGAAATGTACCTTTAAAACTCTTAATTTGGTGCCATAGGTACAATTTGTCTTTTATAAAAAATAAGCATAAAGCTTATGTAATTATTCAGTTTTCACAATTATATCAACATTTGAAAAGTTCTCAACCTCAGGAAGAAAGAAAACAGAACTCAGTGTCCTGCCTTTAAACTCAGTCAGAAAAGTAAATCCAAAATATAAGCAGGATTGTTTAATATTTCTCTCATGAAGTCAGTTTTTATGTGATGCACACATTTCCTATCACTAGCCAATTTTTTTATTAGAATAAATTTGCATAACTATTAACACTTGTTATTTGTGATGTATTTGTTAAATTTTTCCATTTTTTAGATTAAAAAGATATGAATGAATATCCTAAAAAAAGAAAAAGGAAGACTTTACATCCTTCTCGTTATTCAGGTCAGTGTACGATTAAATTATTTAAAAGTTAGGCCATGTTTAATTCCCATGCAATTGTGTTTCCATCCATTTTCTCATAAATGATCTGATAAGAGTTAAATATCTGGGTCAACTTTTTAGGTAAGAGGAAACTAAGTTTTCTGAAAATACATTTCTCAATGTCTGCTGTGTGCTAAACATACATCAGAATTTCACAGACGTTTATTTTACTCCTCACAACTTCATAGTTTATAGACGTTTAGAATTAGATATCCAAGTTACATATTTACAAAGCACAATTGATATTTGCCTGTGTTTCCCAAGCTTGTGCTTAAGTCTTAATAATAACCTTGATATGAGATATTTTGCATCATTGGAAAAAAACTTTATCCTGTACATTATTTCCAGAAATGTTGTAAGTTTCATTGTGATTGTGTAATTTTAGATCCTTTCTTTGAGATTGGCTCTACTGTCTTGGCAAATAAGAGGTCTTGACCATCTGTAACTAATGCTATGCACATGTATACTTGGGGTGGTCTCAGGTACACCTGTTAACCAACCCAGCCTACTTGTTTTTCATGTCTGAGGAAATTAAACCTGGTCTATCTAACTGGCCCTTCCCAAGCAAGAGTTGAAATGACTGTCTTCAGGAGCCCTAACTGGTCCTCAGACCTTCCTCTGTGTATTATGCTTTTCTCTGCAGTACATGGCAGATCTGCTTGGTAGTTAATTCATTGTTTTTTGCAATTAACACATTTATTGCATATTCATATTTTGTGGGACTCTTGACCACGGGAATTGTATCTTAGTGTGTTTCAAAGTATTATATTTTAAATTGTATGGTTTATGGTTCTTTCAAAGCTCAAAGTCAATATGTGAATTATGAAAGCCTTCAGAATTGAGGGAACTATTAACACCTTATTACCAATACTATGAAAATTTATTTATGTTGGATAAACAGATGGCTGTCATTAGATGTTTGTGTGTTCGGTGTGCTTGAAAATGTTTAAATTTTGTTTTATGTTCAGATTCCTCTGGAATAAGCAGAATTGCAGATGGATTCAATGGAATTTTTTCTGATCATTGTTACAGTGTTTGTTCTATGAGACAACCAGACTTAAAATATTTTGACAACAAAGGTATATTTAAATTTTCCAAAATATTTTTATTCAAATTGATTTTATAATTTTTCATTTCCTATTTGAAAATGTGGGTGAAAGGGATGATTTCAAAATGAGCAGGTATCTAAACTTGTTTAAGAAAACAAGAGACTTTTGGGTAAGTGAGTTTTAATTTTTAACATTATTTCAGACATATAAATCAAAAAAACATCCTCCTCTATCAGTTTTAGTCAGCTAGGAATTGGTGGCAAAGCAGGAGTGACCCAGAGTTTTGAGTATTTATGATGAAAAGTTAAAAATAGTGGTATTTCAGGGAGTTCCCTGATGGTCCAGTGGTTAAGACTCCATTCTTCCACTGCAGGGGATACAGGTTTAATCCCTGGTTAGAGAACTAAGATCTTAAGTGCTGTGTAGAGTGGAAGAAAAAAAAAAAAAAACCACAGAAAGAACAGTGTTACACACAGTTCTTCTGCTCAGCTATACATCTCCGTTTGGAGGGCTAATGGAAGGAAAGAATGCAAGGTGGCGGATGTGGTCATTTAAAGAACATTCAGTCAGAGACATCAGTGTGAACTCATGTTTGGCTTAATATAGACACAAACAGTTACATACAGAAACATTTATGGGATGTCAGTATGTTTGTAGTAGTGCACGTGCACATATTTTTTGCTCTGTTAACTGAGAGTCTAACAGAAATGACATCCCAGTAGCAATGAGAACATCTAGTGCCCTGATCTTGGTTTCTAATACCATTTTCCAATAAAAAGAACGAGAGCTTCTTGGAGAAATGGCAGATTCTAGTTCTGGAGCAGGAAACCTAAAAGATGTGCCTGGAGCATTTTGTTGTGCCAAAAAATAAGAAAGTACTCAACATACAGAGTCACTCAGTACAAGTATGCTAAAGGAGCATAAGGAGCCGACTAAAGGGCTCCCAGTATCCAAAGCTGAAACAGTGTGAGAGGGGAGAAGTTGGACTATAACCCAAAGTATGAAATAAATATCCATGAGTCTGTACTGATATAAATAAATGGTAGAATAAGTAAATAAGGGAGAAGAAACAAATGTGTACAGAAGAACTCCAGATTATTTGCATAACTAATCCTCCCTCAAAGAGGTGAAGCATAACTTTCCACTCCTTAAGTCTGGACTGTGCTCAGTGCCTTAATTCCAAAGTGTAGAGTATGGAAAGTAAAAGAGTGACTTTACAGTGGAGAAACCTGATAAAGCCCCAGGTTATCAAGTTCAACATCAGCAGTCATAAATAATGTTAGTAGTTTATACTCTTTATATGATATGATTTTTAAAACAAGGCAGTTGGCCTCTGTGTCTACCTTCCAATAATCCATAATCCCAGTCTAATCATGAAAAAGCAAAGTTAATTGGTGGGGCATCCTGCAAAATACCTGACCGGTCTCCTTAGAATTGTCATGGTCATCAAAAGCAAGGGAAGTCTGAGAAACTGCCACAGCTAGCAGTAGCCTAGAGATATGACAAATAAATGTTATATATCCTGGATGGGACCTTGGAACAGAAAAAGGATATTAGATAAAGACTGAGGAAATCGGGATGAAGTATGGACTTTAGTTAATGATAGCTTACCAGCATCTGGTCATTGTTACAACAAACAGTGTAAGATGTTAATAATAGAGAAACCGAATGCAGGATATGTGGGAATTCTCTGTATTACCTTCTTATTTTTTTTCCTGTAAATTTGAAACTTCTGAAAAATAAAGTCCTTTTAAAAAAGACAGGCTATTGAAGCCCAGTTTTCTCTAGTGACTGGCATTTCAGTTTGTCCATGTAATGTTTAATGTTTTGATTGATATAAATAATAAGTATTTTTCCAAATTCTTTTTTACAGATGATGATTCTGATACAGAGACAACAAATGAATTGCCAAAATTTACTGATGGAATCAAAGCCAGAAATAGAAATCAAAACTACTTGGTCCCCAGTCCTGTACTTAGAATTCTAGACCACACTGCCTTTCCTACAGAAAAACCTGCTGATATTGAAATTTGTGATGAAGACTGTGACTCCCCTGAATCGGTCCACCAGCAAACTCAAGAGGAGAGCCCCATAGAAGTTCACACTGCTGAAGATGTTCCAATTGCTGCAGAAGTACATGCAATTTCTGAAGACTATGACATAGAGGCAGAAAACAATTCTTCTGAGAGTCTCCAAGACCAAACTGACGAAGAGCCACCAGCTAAACTTTGCAGAATTGTTGACAAGAGCCAAGCTTTGAATGTGACTGTCCAGCAGAAATGGCCTTTACTGAGAGCTAATAGCAGTGGCCTCTATAAATGTGAACTTTGTGAGTTCAACAGCAAATACTTTTCTGATTTAAAGCAGCATATGATCTTGAAGCACAAGCGTACTGATTCAAATGTGTGTCGAGTATGCAAAGAGAGTTTCTCTACCAACATGCTTTTGATCGAACATGCCAAACTTCATGAAGAAGATCCCTACATATGTAAATACTGTGATTATAAGACAGTAATTTTTGAGAACCTCAGCCAGCACATTGCAGACACCCATTTTAGTGATCACCTTTATTGGTGTGAGCAATGTGACGTACAGTTCTCCTCAAGCAGTGAACTCTACCTCCATTTCCAGGAGCACAGCTGTGATGAACAGTACTTGTGTCAGTTCTGTGAACATGAAACGAATGATCCAGAAGACTTGCATAGCCATGTGGTAAATGAGCATGCATGTAAATTAATAGAGTTAAGTGATAAGTATAACAATGGAGAACATGGACAGTATAGCCTCTTAAGCAAAATCACATTTGACAAATGTAAAAACTTCTTTGTTTGTCAAGTATGTGGGTTTCGGAGTAGACTTCATACAAATGTTAACAGACATGTTGCTATTGAACATACTAAAATTTTTCCTCATGTTTGTGATGACTGTGGGAAAGGCTTCTCAAGTATGCTAGAATATTGCAAACACTTAAATTCACATTTATCTGAAGGGATTTATTTATGTCAGTACTGTGAATATTCAACAGGACAGATTGAAGATCTTAAAATCCATCTAGATTTCAAGCATTCGGCTGATTTACCTCATAAATGTAGTGACTGCTTGATGAGGTTTGGAAATGAAAGGGAATTAATAAGTCACCTTCCAGTCCATGAAACAGCTTGATTGTTCTCTTTAACTTCCATAATGTTGATGTGAAATAATAAATTCAACTACTTTGGAAATGTTAAAATGGATGATTTTAAACACAACTTGTGAGAATCGTCTTTAACAGGATCTTTTTAATTGCCAATTTTCTTGGCATTGCTGCCTTTTCAGTATATAGTTGTATCCTAAATGTGGTATTTTCAGTGCATTCGTAGTTTTAACCACTTTTGGTGACTGTCATCGTGTTTCTTGCATGTGCTCTGAATTTATGAGTTGATAGGAAACATACACTAAAGAAACTATAGTTTTCCTTCCATAAATATAGGTGTTACAAACTTTTTCTTCTTTAAACTCAAAACAAGATGAGTCTTTCATGGATGAAGTCATTAAAGTACTGAACTTCCAGAGCTAAAGTGCAACATAATGCACAGTTAAGTCCACTGATACTCCCAGTAACAAGATCCAGACCCTGCTTCTGCATTCCCCAGTAGTTACTCTCCCCACGACAGTCAGTGAACTCTCCATCTGTGTGAGTCTGTCAGTGACACTAGGAGCCCCATGTTATGGTAGGAAGGAAAGATCTGATTTTCTTGGCAATCTTTTTTTTTCGTAATCCTTGCTTTAGCCCATCCATGTGCTAAATAATCGTAGATGGGGAGGAACTGATAAGGGGTTAAACAATAAAGGAACATTTCATAACTCATTTATAAATGAAACAGGTCATTTTTAATCTGTTCATATTTCATTTTCACTTATGCAACTGCAAAGTCATGCCTGAACTTCTGATACCAAATCATTTGTTTCTGAGAAAACCCACTGAAGTATTAAAATAGAAATAGGAGGGTATGAGAGATTGGGGTTGCTATTATGAGAAGGTATAAATTACTTTTGATAATGGTAAAGCAGTCTTAGCGTCTGTATTTTCTGTGGCTGCCATAACAAATTATCACAAACTGAGTGGCTTAAAAAGTAGAAGTTTATTGTCTCACAGTTGTAGAGGCTAGAAATTCAAAATTGAAATGTTAGCATAGTTGGTTCTTTTCGAGAGCTGTAAAGGAAGAATCTGTTCTCAGCTACTCTCCTTGACTTGTATGTGGTCATCTTCATGTTCACATGATCTCCTTGTGTCCAAGTCTGTCTCCCTTTTACAAGGAATCAAGCAGTCATTGGATTAAGGCTTACCTTGCCAAGCTCATTTTAACCTAATAAAGACACTGTCCCCAAATAAGGTTGTATTCCATTACTTCAACATATGAACTGGGGAGACACAACCACCACAATTCAGTAACAGCTTCTTCAATAGTATCAAGAAGATGGTGTTTTGTGCATCATTGGCCTCAAATATAATAAACTGCTCCAAACTATTGTCACTTAGGAATATTAATATAGTTGACAAGACTGGTTTATGACCCATGGTTTTCCCACCTTGAGGCCCATGGGAGTTTAGTCTGTTTTGTAAATTGTGACAGCAATAAGTTTTTCAAAACCATTTTTATTTCCACCCTTTTGTCATATATGCATACCTGTATTCCTAGAAATTACCATTCCATCTGATTATAACATTCCAGGTAGGGCTTGTCTGATAAAAATGTTTCTAAGAAGACTTAAAATTGTAATTAAATTGGAAGAAAACCTTAGAAACCATCTGATCTACACCCTCTTGTTTCTTACAGAAACAGGTTATTTATTAGGCCGAGGTCACGAAACCAGTTAGAGCAGACAGGAGTGGAATCCAAGTTGTTTGGCTTCCAGTCTAGTGATGTTTCCATTACACCATGTTATAAAAATCTGAACTTTGTCCTTGGGATATTTTTCATGACTACTTATCCTAGCCAAGAATTGCCTTGGTAATTCAGTTTTTATACTTTTTCAATATCCATTCAGCTTCAGGAATTTGATTTTCAGAAAACTTAAGTAATGACTTGGTTTGTTTTTATTTTCTAATTGTGTATCTTATAGCATTACATTTTTGATCAGAGAAATTAGAGATTGTAATGGAACCACTCGAGACATTAAATCCAAGTTTTAGAACCATATAATTTGGTGCTTTTTTGATGAATCTGCAGCTTGAGGCCACATTTTACTGCCACTTTGTCCAATAAAATCTTGCTTTGACTCAGCTTTCAAATAAGCCTATAAGTGACCATTAAATTGCTGTGGTAGCAAGTCTATATTTTTGGTTTAATGAACTTTGGAAAAACAAAATTTTCTAACTGCTTCTGGATTTTTTCTTCTCAAAGACATTTCCACTGTACTCTTGTGACTCGAGAATACATAACGGAATACACAATAGAATTATTGCCAGCAGTGAACAGTAGTGATGGATCTTTTTTTTTTCTTTATCTTCACCTTGAAATGAGTGTTATTTGAAAATAGTGTGGTATTCAAAAGCCTCTTTTCCTGCTTGTAAATCTGCCAGTTTTAGCATTTTAAATTGCCTTTCGTAGGTTCCTCTGAATATGTACCATAACATACTAACCAGTTTCTTTTTTCCACAGGGTCCACAGCTTGTTAGGTGATTGCTGAATTATTCGTAGGTGGTGTATATACAGGTTTCTGGGGTTTTTTTTCCCCTAGTAAGCTAACGATGCTCCTAATTTTTAAATCTGATCTTCAAAGCATTGAATTACTTAATTCCTGGCACTTTATCTTAGCTTGTTTTCCCAGTCTTACTACCTTTTACAAGCAGGTTAATATATCCCCCAAACTACTGTGATTAATTTTTAATGGATTCTGATGACTTGAAAGCACTATAAGTGACATAAATTTGAAAAAGCTAATAAAAATCAACTAACCACAATCCTCCTGGGAAGCAGATTGACTTAAAATAATCAATACTACTTACTTAACTGAAAATAAATAGTTAACGATTAACCGTAAATCCCAACAGAGAAGCAAATTTGGTTAGTCAGTTTTACACTACAATTAACAGTCTCATCCCTGTAAATTAAAAACGAACTTTTGAAGATACAGTCTTCTGTAACTTCAGTTCTGATGACTGAAGATACGGAATATCTTTTAGAATTTCTATTTATGGCATTGGGTTTATGGATTTTAAATATACCTTGTATTGGTTCAGCTTTCCATAAATTAATAACATTCAAATCTAAGAGAAAGAAATGTGTATATTTATGGTGTAAAATATAAATACACAAAGCTTAAAGTTGTCATATGTAATTTACATGTTTATATGAAATTGCATGCTCAATTTACAAGTTTAAAAAACAAAATTTTAATGGTGTTTGCTCTATACTAATGATTTGAAAAATACTTTTCTATACAAAGATTTTCCATATTAAAGCATCACCACGACTTCTTACTGAGTCCATCCTCTTTAATAACCTTGATATTAAACTAGTAACTCCCTGAACCTAAAATAAATCACATTTGTGAAAAGTAATTTCTTTATTGTAAAAAGAAACAATTTTCTCACATTGCTAAATAGGAATATTGTATTATCTACTAGTTTTATTCACATATTTTAAAAAGAATGACTTTAAATTCTTTTTTTTAAAGAAATTTTTGTTGTCGTAACTGTTGATTGTTTATTTTGAGTTTTAAATAGGCAAACAGATATGACCTGGAAAATCTTTTTTCTTGCTGCTAAAAATACTGAACTGAATGAATTACACATTGAAAATTTTAATGAAAAGTATATTTTGAATAAAAACGTTTTCTAGCTTTTAATATCTAGGTATTGTCTGCTACTGAAAAACACTACAGATGAAATAATTGGTATTTTTGCCCTTATTCTTCAGAGTAAGCTCAGATTAGGAATTGGAATCAAATGAAAATAACATAGAAGCGTCATTTCTGGTGGGTGATGGGTTGTTTTTTGTTTTGTTTGGGGGAGGGGTGTTAGTTTTTGTTTTTGATCCTCTGCCTAAATACCATTTACCATGATGTTTTGGATTTTAGTTGGCTGAAATGTGAGAGTATTGAATTCTTTTTTCTTGCCTACCTTGCACATTTTATTTAGGGTTATCACTTCTCTGCTATAACCTTATGTTTCTGAAGTATATTGCTCAAGCTATATTCTACGATTGATTACTCTTCGCTTTGCAACCCTTTCTCACCTCATTTGGATTTTCAGAAAGTCTCAAGAGAGTCAAATTTTCCCATTTAGCAAGGAGAGAGTGGATGTCTTAATTCTTCTCTATGTTCTCCAAACTGTTAAAATAACTTACTCCTTTCATACCGTATACCTCATCACTCACTTCTACACCCTGTAAATATTTTATTATATCCTGTCTAACAGAAGTAGTGAATTTATAAATTCTAATGTGTCTATTTTAGATTTTTAAGAAGCAGAATATCATGGCACTTTTCTTTCTGGCTGTGCTACACAACTTATGGAATCCTAATTCCCCAACCGGGGACTGAACCCAGGCCACAGTAGTGAAAGCATTTAGTCCTAAGCACTGGACGGCCAGGGAGTTCCCTCACAGCACTTCTTTATGGTTATAAGATTATAGTTAATTGCATTCTTTATTGAACAACTAAATTGCTGAAGTAGAAAAACTAACACAGAGTGACAGAACGTTAATTTGGAAGGAACCTCAGAAATCATCTAATCCGGACCCATAAAGCACATTACATAAAATAATTGTATACAGTACATTATTTTATGGTTTTAAATTATATGTTGTAAAATGTAATACATCAAATCTCATTCATGAATATTTTTACTTAGGACAGAACTAATTTTTTTTTTAAAGCAAACGTTTAAAGAAAAACATGAAGTAAATAATGATACATCGACGTGGAAAAAATAGGCAGGTAAAACATGGATGACAAATTTGAGAATACAAAATCCTTACCTAAACTTCTTATTTATAGCTCAGAAATGATTCTCTAACATCGTTAGTCGAATGCTTTTTAAGCTATAATAAATATGACTTTTAACTCTCTACCACTCTTCAAAGAATTTTAGAAAAAGTGAAAATGTACCCTATTTTTTCAGCGAAATGTCATCCCAGACAACTGAAGAGAGAAAATAATGTAATGGGGGGTTCTGG